TTTTCCTGATACTTGCATGCACTAGTAGCTGAAAAATACATCTCAGGAGTTACTTTAAGAGTCTTATGAGGGTCTATGTGGCATTTCTTTAGTCTTCATTGAATTTGAGATGGCTATTTTGAGCTTGAAGTATACGTATTCAGTCTTTGCTTATTATGTGTAAAGAGTAACACTAGAAATAATTTTTTTCTGTTTTGTTAGCACATGCACAAATTCGTTTGAGGCAGGAAACGTCACAAAACTAGCTAATTAAACAGTTCCAGTGCATTCTGTAGTTCTGTTTCATTGACTCTGATGGACTGGGCAATAAATGGGCCTTCAAAAAACCAGAAGCATTCTAGTGCTTTATTGCCAGAAATACTTGGTTGTAGACATGGTACAATGTGTCCTTCAAACTTGAAATTGGTTGTAGCTGTTTGCTGCAAAATGAAGTTTGTAGTGTTCCAGCTGGAATGCTTAATGTTTCATAGTCTGAATTTGATTTTCTGTTGATACTGATTTGAATGTTCTTCAGAGCGTATTGAAAGTTTGTTCGCTTTTTTTGTTTGTTTGTTTTTTGCTTTTGTTAGACCAAGTGTCTGTTTCTTCATTTTTTATTTTAGAAGAGGTCTAATAATCCTGTAGTCCTTCCTTTATTGTTTGAAGCTTCTGGAAGCTGCCTTTTACTCTGCTAAAAAAAGTCAAGGTGTTGGCAGCCTATCCTTAGTCACACATAGGGAAATTAACAGTTATACTTGTCTCTTGAGCAATATCTGTTCAGGAGAACAAACTATTCCCTTTTAGAGTAGGCCTGTGGTCACCGATGTTGTAGTACTCAGTTTCATCAATATTTGGCTACATGTAGCTACATACTGCATTTCTTAAATGTTAATATAGCTGTATTTTTTTTTTTAGACTTTTTCTTTGGCATAGGATATTGAAAAGGCTTTTTAATATGTTTGACTGTCAGCTGTTTCATGGGTACTTCCAAATACCAGCTGATTAGTACCCTATGAATCCCTGGTTGATGGGCAGCATTGGCCTGGAGGCTGGCATAGCAGCTTCACAGAATATCTGGTATCTAGTTCTAGTATCTAGTTCTGAAGATACTAGGACCTGAATCTGATGATAGAGAGTTGTGTATTATCAGTCTTCAATGAATCTTGCTGAACATTCTCTCTGTTTCAAAGAGCGTCAGTGATGATCTGAGAAAGCTGTATGTTGTATCCATTTGCTCTTTGGCTCCTGATATGGTGAAATAATGTCCCCATTCCTAGAGTAATATATATATATATGTGTTTCACTTCAAGAACTTGTTCTTCAAAGTTGTTATTGTATTTCAGGTACTTTAAAGCTTATCGCCTTTTTGGCAAGACAGTAATAGCGACCTGTATCTACAGTCATAAAACTTTAATTATCCTCATCCCCTTTCCCTCCTTCTCCAATGTATTTCCTTTTACAGAAGATAAATGAGCACAACACTAAACACACTGTAAGGTGAAAAACAAGAACGACTGTTGATACAACACTTAGTATTGCTAAAGGAAAACCAACTTGTTACAACTTTTTATACCAGTCATACTCTTATGTAGCGACGATCTATTAAAGAGAATAAATATTCAAGTTGATATAGGTTAGGATACAGGAAATGGAGGTTACTTTTTGGAAAGCGTGGTGAACGGTGAAGATTTTAAAAGTAAAGCAGATTGTATTTGCCACTAACTTACAAATAGGTTTTAAAAAATAAAAGAGGCTTTAGAAACAAGAAAAAAAAAAGCCAACTGACAAACCAGGTTCTTAAAGCAGTGAAAGAACTGAAGAAGAATCTGGCAACCGAATTCTCCAAACTGCTTTACTCTGGGATATTTAGTATGCACACTTAAAGCTGCTTAGACTTCTGCCAGGAGAAAAGAATCATCATTATGGCACATCAGGATTGCTGGTCATTCTTAGATTCAATTCTAAGTATAAAGAACAGTGAATTGTAGAATTAAAACTACTGTCTGAGGAACTTACAGTCTGAAATTTCTAGTCTTAAGCCTTCGAGGAACTGGAGAAGAACTACTGTTAATAATGAGCACAGTGATAATGCTTCTATCTACGATCTTAGCCTTGATTTTAGGGAATTTCCACCAAACTGGTGTTCAGAGTGAAAGTGCCTGAATACTCACTGTGCCCTAACTGGATAATTTAAAGCAAAGAATAATTTTTATTCCTTCATGGTATGCAAAGAATTTTCAGAAGATCTAGAGAGTGTTGAGTCTACTACCTCAGATCTGTTTGAGGTAGAGAGAGAAGCTTGAAAAGTTTCTATCAGTCAGTATCAGTTCTAATTTACTACTTCTTAACTACCATTTAAAAATGCTGTTGAGCTTCAGAAATATATCCCCAGCTCTAGGGGTATTCTTTATAGATGGATTCCATTCTTTGTAGATGGATTTCAGATAGGAACATGTATAAGAGTATTGTTGTGAGTGGTGATACTTAAATTTTAAGTTTTGGACTGAAACCCAAGCATAATAGAAGTCTTGGTATTATAAAGCAGTTGGCAGGATGATGTGATGGAAGATGGTGCATGAAGAAATGTAAAAATATTGTGGTGACATTGTCTGGCACGTTGCTGTAAATTCTGCTTTATCATGCATGTCTTGTGGATTTGAGAATGTGTTAAATCCTTGTTTGTACTTGGAAAGAGCCTTTGAGTAGCTAAGACTTGCCAAGACTAGTTGAACATCACAAAGCAGTTAGAATTAGCAGTATGGCTTTCTGTTAGCTTCTTTCTCTGAAATGCCTAGATTTTTCAGATGTTCTTCCCCAGAAGTTTTAGACAAATCGGGAAAAGATAACTAAATTTCAACCACAGAAAATGGAAGTGCTAGCAGGGTGGGTAATATACTAGAAATATTTTGCCATTTCACAATTTAGTCTTAGCGTACCATGAAAGCTGGTGGTGCAGTTACAGTACAAAGTGTTAACTGCTGTCTTTGTCCAGAAAATAGAAGCTCTTCAGCTTTTGACTAATGCTTCCCCAAATTTTCAGTTCTTCCTGTCCTGCCCCCCCCCCAATCTGTCTTAGAATGAGCCAAACCTGTGGAGCCTTTTGGGATCCAAGACAAACTGTTGAGGGTAAACTGCTTTCCTACTTTCCAAAACACTCACTTCAAGGTTTTGGCAGCTGGAAGGAACTCAGCATTACGCTGTAGATGTTGGGTCTTGATACTTATGAAACCTTTTGCTAAGTGAGAGAATCCAAGTCTCTCTCTTGGTCTTAAAGAAAGTCCTTCCTGCTTTTATTATTCCCCAGTGTAGCAGCTTCTGGCTGTGTTCTGGATGAGATAAGAGAAAAAGAGGAGATAATTGTGTTCTTTTTTAAAAACTAGCAATAGCACTGTAAAATTCTGTCTAAAAGATTGCTGTCTCAAATGTGCCTACCTATACTGCTTTGTAGGTTGTAGAACTATTCCTTTATTGTATGTAATCAAGACTAAGAAACATTCTACACATTCAAATTAAACTTCTCAGGCATTTTACATTACCAGTATTCCTATTTACAGTTTTCTGCAGTTATTTTGCAGGACCTTCATCTTTCAAGTTAGAGGTGCATCACCTGTTATAAATATCTACAGTTCTGATTACAGTTTAATTTGTGCAAGACTGTTTCTTTTCAGACTGTTCTTATAATGTAAAAAAGATGGTGCTTCATTTGCAGTAGAAGCAATGAGCGGAATCCAGTTTTCCTTGTGCACAAAAAGTATTAGTTGTCTGAACTCTTGGTGACTGGTGAAAGCAAAATTGATTACTGAAACGGTGCTACAACTGTTATTTTTAACTAAGAAACCTAGAAACATACGTCCTTGTTCTAATATGTTTAAAGGAAACAAGCTTCATAACATAATTTTGTGAAGTATATAAAAAAATGTTTAAATCTTTCCTCCCTGTTTTAGTTATCTGAAATGACTGAAGTGAAGATCTTAACTCAAACTATGATGCCCTGTCAACCAAAACAGCATGAATCAGAAGCAAAAAAAGGTAAAATATTGCATGGAGATCTGTGTCAGAGTTGTATTTTCTGGATGGAAGACAGTTAAACTTTGAAGATGTGGGCTGCATATTATTTTTTCTGATTAGCCAGGGCTTTGGGAGCTTGGCTTCCTTCTGTACCACAATTTGAGAGCAATATGAAACCTTCCTGGTTTTCACATAACAGTCTAGAGAAAATGTAAAACTTGGCCATAACCGAGGTGGGAAACCTCCACTGGTAAACTTGCTTGCATATAAGGGTGCAGCTGTCTTTTTTTTTTTTTTTTTTTTCTTAAAAAAAAACCCAAACCAATGAAACAAATTAGAAACAAACCCCAAGCATAAAAAATTTCTTCACAAAAAATCCTGTAAATTGCTTCTGTGTGTAGATGTAAAGGTTTGAGTTGTATCCTTTAGTCTGATGCAGAGGTCAGTCATGGCATACAATAAAATTTAACAGAATTCTTTCAGTTCTTGAGTGCTAAGAATTTAGTAGTTTGGCCTCCTTTTCCTGCTCTTACTACAGTGCTTCTGAGATACTGATTTTCTGATGGTTAGAAATCACTTAATTTCTTTTATGAGTAGTCCTGGACAGTTTGTTCCTGTGTCAACACTGTCCTTAAGGTTTGTTCCTTATGCTTTTCTTTCTGTACTGCCTGTCACTCAGTACTCATAAAGCATAATAGTGGTTTTGTCACGGTTTGGTAGGTTAAACAAGCCACACTTTTACCCTTTTATTTATTAAGGGATAATCTCAGATTCCAAACGTATTCTCACAGTCCTCCTCTGCACTGCTTCCTGCCTAATTCTTCATTCTTAAACATGTCACAGGAACTGCGACAGTGAGCTAAGGTTAGGTCATCAGTTCATCGAGACAATTTTTTCTGTTAATGTCTTCCTGTAATCAGCCATCTCAAATCTCTATCTGTAATCTCCGATTCTTAGGTAATCTCTGGAGACTTGATTTGTTCTGTTGCTCTTAGTACTCAAGAATTGAAGGAATTCTGTCAGGTTTAATTGAGCCTTTCCTATTTTTCTTCAGTCTGAGGTTACCATCACCCAAGTTCTTGAGCAGTAATTCTACGCTGTCGTGTGTTACTGACTTGAAAGTGAGTCTTCCGTGTATCCCCTTTCAGGCTCAAGTTTGTTTCCTTTATTCTTGATCTTGGTAAATAGAATAATGTTCTGTTCTTTGGGTCTTGTTTGGTGTCAGGCTTGTCAAGTTCTATCTGTTTGGTGGTGGCTTTCTGATCCTTTCTCATTGATTCTGCTTGTGGTGTGTAGAGACTTTTGTGTTCTACAAGATCTTAAATGGCTTCTCATCAGATCCTGGTCTCTTGTATAAGCCATCACTTTGGATCATTTTTAGTGGTTAATTGCTCTGTGATGCCTTCCTGGGTCTATTCCACATTTGTCCATAATGTCAAACTTTTTCCAACACTTGCTTTCAAAGGAATTTTGTTTGTTTGCTGATTGTTATAATCTTTTCCTTCAGAGTAACAAAAATTTAGAGGCCCTGTTGATCAGCTACAAATAAGTCTCTTTCCCCACGTCCCCCCCCTCCCACCTCTTCCATCACACTGTGAAATTTCCACTGGAACTCCATTTTTATCTCCAGCTGTACCTTAAGTTTTAGATAATAGTTTCCATTTGATATCTATTCAGTGGTAGTATGCCTTCAATTACCTGTCTACAGTTCTTATGTGCTTTTTACTGCTATCTCATTCACTTCCTTGCTTTCTCTTAGAATCATAGAATAGTTTGTGTTGGAAAGGACCTTTAAAGATCATCTAGTCCAATGCCCCTGCAATGAACAGGGACATCTTCAGCTAGATCAGGTTGCCCAGAGCCCCATCCAACCTGACCCTGAATGTTTCCAGGGATGGGGAATCTACCACCTCTCTGAGCAACCCGTTCCAGTGTTTCACCACCCTCATTGTAAACAATTTCATCCTTATATCTAGTCTAAATCTACCTGCTTTTAGTTTAAAACCATTACCACTTGTCCTGTCACTACAGGCCTTAATAAAAAGCCTGTCCCCATCTTTCTTGTAGGCCCCCTTTAAGTATTGAAAGGCTGCAATAAGGTCTCCCCAGAGCCTTCTCTTCTCCAGGCTGAATAACCCCAACTCTCTCAGCCTTTCTTCATAGCAGAGGTGTTCCATCCCTCTGATCATTTTTGTGGCCCTCCTCTGGACCCTCTCCAACAGGTCCATGTTCTTCCTGTGCTGAGGACTCCACAGCTGGATGCAGTACTCCAGGTGGGGTGTCACCAGAGCAGAGTAGAAGGGCAGAATCACCTCCCTTGACATGCTTCTTTTGATGCTGCCCAGGATACGATTGGCTTTCTGGGCTGCAAGCACACATTGCCAGCTCATGTCCAGCTTTTTGTCCACCAGTACCCCCAAGTCCTTCTCCACAGGGCTGCTCTCAATCCCTTCATCGCCTAGCCTGTATTGATACCAGGGGTTGCCTTGACCCAAGTGCAGGACCTTTCACTTGGCCTTGTTGAATCTCATGAGGTTTACATGGGCCCACTTCTTGAGCTTGTCCAGGTCCCTCTGGATGGCATCCCATCCTTCAGGTGTGTCAACTGCACCACTCAGCTTGGTGTCATCTGCAGACTTGCTGAGGGTGCAGTCAATCCCACTGTCTTTGTCATTGACGAAGATATTAAACTGTCCTGGTCCCCATATGGATCCCCAAGGGACACCACTCATCACTGATCTCCAACTGGACATTGAGTGGTTGACCACTACCCTCTGCATGCGACCATCCAACCAATTCCTTGTCCACCAAACAGTCCAGCCATCAAATCCATACCTCTCCAATTTAGAGAGAAGGATGTTGTGGGGGACCGTGTCAAAACCTTAAAGAAGTCGTCTTCTTCATATGTTTTTAAAAAAGGGGAAAAAAATCCAAGCCATAAGTTTTCAAGTGTTCTCATGTTCTTTAAACTGTTGTTTTTAAAGTTGTCTCCATGCCCTCACATAGATTCAGCAGTTATTACAATCACTTTTGGTCAAAGGCAGGAAGAAATCACAATCGTAGTTGACTTTGTGGCCTCTCTTGTCAACAGCCTACAGCCTGAGAAGCAAAAACTGTAGTCCATCAAGTGACTGTGTAACAGTCTTATAGGAGGCTCATTATTCCTAAAAGAACAAAATTCTTTGTCACCAAGGACCGGAGATAAACTTTGTCCCTTCTTTGCCTAATTCCTTTCCTCTTGTTTCTGGTTTTAAGAATATCAGCTTAAAATATGGACATGGGTAGGCATATTATATCTGAGACTATGCTAGCGTAGAGATAGTGGTACAAACTCAAATGATAACATACACGTTCTAAACAAAGCCCTTGACTCTTGTTGATTCACCCTCAAAACTGTTTCATTGATATTAATCCATTTTCCAGTTTACATGCTGTGGATCTCATAATTACTTTTACCTGTTGAAAGACATCAACCTAATAGTTCCAAGAAAAGGGACACTCAGTTTTTATCTGTCCCATAGAAACATGTCCCACTTTGGTGTGAGTTATAAACAGATTTTCTTCTAGGGTTTCAAGACCAGTTTTTTGTGTTTCTGTTAATTAGAACAAGATATAGGGAGTCTGTAGTGTAAGCTTGGATTCTTTTTGTAGTCTTTTGTATTAAAACAGCAAACCCTTATTAGCTTGGAATAGTCCTCAATATTTACTGAGTCAATTTGATTGAGTGAAAGTGAAATGCTCTGTAATTTACTACAAATTGTCCTGATGCAAGATCAGACTTAAATTACCGCTGGTTTTAATATTGATTTTTTTATATTCCACATGCAGCATTTCCACCCTTCTATAAGAAACCAAATCAGTTCTCTGAATGCCCAACCTTAATGCCTTAAACAACAATGTTGAACTTAGTAATTTTTTATATTCACAGAAAGGATCAAATACAGCAGAGATTTCCTTCTGAAACTTTCAAGTGTTTCTCTTTCTCAGAAGAAGCCAGAGTTTCTTCCTGATCATCCAATTGTACTTGAAAAGCCAGTAAGTGTATTTTTCCTATTAAGGGAAGTTATAAAAACAGTCATGGAGGTTTTGACAACGCATTTGATAGGAAACATTTTTCTTAAGACTAGCCTGCCAAATTGATAAAACCTTCAAATGACAGATTGTGCAGTTCAGCTCATAACTTCCCCAGTTGGTATTTGGCATCTTGCTATGGCAAGTACCATACAAAGGAAAAGGGGTTTTTCTTTGTTTTTAGGAAGAAGACTGGGTATCTTTCCAAATTTAAAGCCAGTATGAAATCATATTAAAGCTTTCTACTATGAAATCACAGTACGTAGCTTTGGTATTCTATGTGAATTCCATCTCTGTCTTTTTCAAAATAAAAGAGAACAATCTTGTTAAATTTCTGGCTTGGTGAAAGTGTGATTCCAGTGTTTAAGTTGTCCATGCATCAGTGTCCATTAATGAGCTTAATGCCATTTGTGTTATCATTATCTCTGCTCTGGTCTGTGTTGTTGGGGAGAAATGAACAGAAATGAATGATAAAAGTTAAGGATATCCAGGAGTGCCACCTTAACCTTTGAGATGAAATAATCCTCAAATACTTTGTACGCTAAGAGAAAAAAATCTAATGGTTCGCATTCTACACATCAAGTGTGGGAAAACGTTCTTGGGTATAAACATTACAATATCAAATCAGGCTACATAATAGGCTGCTTTTGAAAGCATCAGGGTGTAATTTTTCTAGAAATAGGATTCCTATTCTGGAGAAGTATGTCCAGATGACTACTGTTTTGGCCACAATTTGAGGCAGTTTTAAACTTTTTAAATTTCTGTTCTTTGGAAAAACGAAGTTGAACTAATATGTGACAGTAATTGGCCTTCCCTGATCTTACTTTTTACATCTTCCTGTTACATTTGTCCTCAAGATGAAAACTTTACTTGTTTGAAAAGCTGCCTGCAGGTAGGGAAGTTGCAACTCCTGAATTTCCTAATTTCCCCCCCCCCGCCCCTTCCTGTCATTTGAGTTTCTAAGGGGGGCAAATTTTAATAATACATACACCTTCACATGGTTATGTTCAAGGCTAAAGGAAGACCCCACAGAAATGAAGTCAATGGACAAATGAACTCTAAAATTGCTCATGACATGGCTAAATAGCAAATAATTTGGGCAAGGGGAAATAAGGATAGTAAAAACTGGTGGAAGGCAAAATGGGTTGCATATGTTCTAAGAGATTGTTTTGGGGCTGGAAGATCTGTGTCTGTAGGATGATGTCATAAGTGTATCCAGTTGTATATAGTCTTGTCTTTAGAAAGAAGACTATCTCACTGTTTGTGAGGCCTGCTCTTAAAGTCTTTCCTCTGCTTTGTGTTAGTCATATATATGTAAGCCCCCACCTGCATATGCTAGTTTATCATACAGATAAAGCAGTGAGTCTTCTGATTCTGTTCAGCTGCGAAAGGGGATGGCTAAATTACAAACCCTTATTAGTCAGGATGTTGTGTTAGAATAACACAAAGTGTTTCACTTAGCTATGATTATTGGTGTCTTAAGCACAAAGTATGGATGGTTGAGTAGGAAGCTAAAGGAAAAAAAAATCCTGTTCTGAGTAAAAGAAAGCAAAAGCTGGTGAATTTGCTGTGTGATCTTGGAGACAGTGTTGAAAAAGGTATTGCAAGTATACTGGTCTCGTTAGTATATAAAGGTGATATTATTAGCCTGCCAGTCATACTTCAGAAGTTAACTCCACATTATAAGTATGAAACTTGGTCAGTTATAGTCTGCATTTTTTTTTCTGAATTGACTAGAATAAATGTTTTGCTGTTACAGGATAAAACTATCCACGGTTGTATTCTAGTGTTGGATTTTAGTGTAGATATTGAATTTTTAGTAATTTGGGAGTTTGTTTGGAGGCACGAATTCAACATATAAGTTCTTTGGATGTGGACTGTCTTAAGGTGTATTTTGCATGTCTGCATGGATATACCAACTTGCTTTTCACTAAGCCATTTCCTTATTGGCAAGAAAGAGGGAAAATTACCATTGTTTCCAAGGTCATTGTAAGATCTCGGTTAAAGTAGATGAACCTTGTTAGAAATTCCATTGCCATATACTGAAATAAAAAGTTTGTATGTGGGACACCTGAACGCTACCCAGCTAGTCACTTTCTATAAAAAGATTGAAGCACTTGGAGATGTTAAGTTTTTCTGTGTGGGAATCCCAATATAAGAATCTGTGAATAGAACAGAAGCTGAACGTTACCCAGAAATAGACTGGACTTGGCCTGTCAACTAATGGATCTTACTTTCAGGTCTCATATAGCAGTGTGAAAAGATACATGTTGAATTTCAAGAATGAAGAGTGATAAAACACATTTCAAAATTAGAAGGAAAGTCCCCAGTAACTACAAACATTTAATGGGACAAAGACCTGCATTATTTCCTCTTCTGAGTTAGGTGCATCTCTTGGAAAACATAACTAGTGAGACTTTCATGAAATCTAGGACTAATTAGTCAACATGGAAATAGAGGCCTCTGTTCAGAATGCAGAGCTTGTTGGTGTATAGCTCCTCTTAAAACAGTGGCACCGAATAAGCAATTTTTCTATCCAGGAGAGGGTTTATCTCGAATGAGAATAGTCTGAGCCTAACATCCCATAAAAGGATTGAGCCTGGTTTTTCTTAATACTTCTTATAATACGTAGATTGGAGGAAAAGCATTTCATAGTTCTTGACCGTATAATCTGAGAAGGCACCTGGAATCAAAGAAAAAGTGAAGATAAATTCAGAACTAATTTATTCATAAAAGGCAGTGATTTCAGGTTCCTTCTGGTGCAGTACGGTGACATCAGTATGTCGTGTTAAATTGCCTGCTTTGTGTGACACCCTGTTTATTGAGACTGGATGCCAGACTTTGAGCATTCTGCACTGAAGCAGAGAACAAGTTGATTAATAGTAGAAAGCCTATACGACAAGTACAAACAGCTTTGGTTTTGATGCAGTGTTTTCCAGGTGCTGTTTCTTTCTAATCTATTTAGTGATGAGACAGAATTATAATCTACAGCCTTCTTTTGAGTTTGGCAGTTTTTTTGCTTCCTTGTTTGTTTTTCTTTCCTAAGCATGTTTTTGGTAGCTTTTAAGGAATTTCCCCCAATCATTTAGTTTGGAAGGGACCTCCTGAGATCACCTAGTCCAACCCCTGCTCAAGCAGAGTCAGCTAGAGCAGATTGCCGGGGATCGTGTCCAGTCAGGTTTCGAGTATCTCCACAGGCAGAGACTTCACAGCCTCTGTAGAGAGGTTGCACAACCTGTTGCAGTGCTTGGTCACCCTTACAGTGAAAAAACAGTTGGTTTGGGGAGGCTGTGAAAGCTGCATCTCTCTCATCAGATCTTACTGGATGTTCCCATTAGTTAAAAAATAAATCAAAAATCTTCCTCGTAGCCTTTGTGGTTTCTAGAAGGGTGGGAGAGATACAGTCTAATTTTAAGGACATCCTGTAGCAGAGCTGACATGATAGTGAGAAATTATCTGAATTTTGCTGTTCTGAGGTCTCTAAGGTAAGTAAGTGCGGAGGTGGATTTCTGTGCAGTTTTGCTTGTGGCATCCTGGCAAGAAGTCATCTAAAGACAGTACTCTTTTGGTAGAGCAGTACCAGAAATGATAGTGGAGTGGTTGTATCCTGAATATATTATTATACAGGACTTGTTTTCCATGGAGTGTGCAAAACCACTTAATTTATTTGCACTGAACAGTAAGTGGTATTCAATTGTTCCATTATCCATCCTCTTTTCTCTGCACTTTAGTTGCCTTCATGCAACAGATTCTGTAGTTACATGGGAAAATTCCAGTGTGATTGATCCCATGTCACCTATTTTTCTGCATAGAAACCAGAGGGATTGTTAAGATGCATGTGTAAATTAAATGAGCGATGCTTAAAAGGGGCCGAAGGAGGACTCCAGATAAATTTCTAATGAGCAACAGACAATCCTACAACATGTCAGTGAGCTTGTATTTAGGAGCAGATGGTTGTCAGCAGTTTGCCGCTGAATTGAGTATTCAGGCGGTTCTTGCCCATCTTAAGACTTCCCTAGTTCTGAATTTTTGAAGTCACTGCTCAAGTATCTGCCCATCTATGAGTGAAAGCTGTATTTTCAGATGGAGAAAGCTTCCTAGAGTGACTTGTACAAGGGAAATGCTGCTGTTACAGTTAGTGGGCTGTGGGTTGCATTTCTCCTGAAAGACACTGGTGTTTTTTGAGCTGTGGGGATCAGGCCTACCTATACATAGCTCAGCATTTTTACTGAACTGATGTTACTGTGTTCACAAAGTCTGCCAGGAAAATTTCAGATTAAGTCTCTGTGATTAATGAAGTAGAACTGTTTGCATTAATCAAAAAAATATCAAATTGTTAAATGTACGTGGAGTAGAAAAGTGTTATTAGCAGACCCATGAAAACGTGGTTTAAATGACCTGTTATAACTGAAGTAATTTGAGGGTTTGTTGGTCTTACAGGAAAAGAGCAACCCTTCTGTTGACATATGCAAGAAATGACAAGTTGTTTGGAAGATGAGAAATCCATCAATGAAGGAGCTACATATGATGTAGATCTTTAAGATTTTTGAAGGTACTTGGGTGCCTACAGATGAAAGCAGGACCCTATGAAACTTATAGAAATGCCTGTTTCTTCCTGTAATTGCCTGAATGCTTTAAAAAGCCAAACCTTTAATTTGTAGTATCTGAGATGGTAATACAATTACAGTGAAAATAAATAATTTTACATTTTGCTGTGACAGAATTTTGTCCTTGAATTGTCTGTGTTACGTAGTTTGTCTGACCGTAAATTCTAAACCAATACTTGACTGGGGCTTTTTGCTTGCTCCCACCTCCTTTCCTTAGCAGTACTAATGCAACAACAGATACTGGCTGTGTCAAATCTGAGATGTCTTAGGGTATATACTCCTCTAGCTTAATTTTTTTTTCCCCAAAATTCACTTGGTTGCTTTCTTCATTTGAATCTCCATCTTGACAAAAGACATTCCTTCATATTTTGTGGATACATACCTTCTTTCAAGGTACGAAGTCTCTGGTTACTAACAGTTTCACTAAAATGAGAAATCTTCTCTCATCATGGATCAGAACAAGAGAACTGTCCACACATTGCATTCCTTGAAGTTCTTTGTAAATAGTTGTCCAGTGTTTTTGACTTTGAAATGTGGAAGTAATGGGAAAAATTGAGGAACAAGACAGATTTTGATCACATGTCTTACATGGGTAAATGGGTATACCAATACATAGTTAATTCTATAACTTCTTTCTTAAATAAGAATAGTATTTAATAGTGAAGTGGAAAGCAGTAGTTTGAGTATTTCCTGAAAGTATCCTTCAGTTGACAAGCAGCAGTAATAGTTATTTTGTATGAATATAATTACCTTCAAAATCTGTATTCAGACCTGCAATAACGTCATTTGGGCTCTGAAGGCAATTTTTTAACCTCTGTCACAAATGATAATGGAAGCTAAATGAGAATGTGTTGAATGGTAATCGCGGTAGTGCAGAATACTTTCAAGTTGCATTTGATAAACACTAGATTTCTTTCCCTGAACTATGCAAATAAACTTGTTTGAATTCAGTTTCTTTTTATGTTTAGCAGCAGTTAGTTAATTAAAATAAACTTCCAAGCCTATTCTGTTTGTATGTTGTTTACAAGTAATGTTGCAAAGAACTGAGATCTTTTTTGTTTGTTTTCTAATGACTGGGTGTTTTTTTAGAGTGAGTCCTATGGATCTTTTTCCCCAGTATCTGTTGAAGGCAATTTCTATGTGTAGCTCTCAAACCTCTTAAGTGAAACCTCTCATACTTGTTCTTGTGTGTGATTAATCAAAGTGTTTGTTTACAAGTAAATATGCAAAGGAGAATGACCTATTAGAACTTTCCCCCCCCTCCAGCACCTAATTGGCATGAAGTTCTAAAGCAGGTTATTTTAGGAATAATTTTAATATGGTTTATCCAGTGAAAATGAAAAAATGTCTTAAACCTCAGTGTAGTGTGTCGGTTTTCACTTAAGGATTTACCCTGCAGCAGTGTCACATGTCACTGTATTTCCTTTGTCGGTAGATCCATAGTGACAAAAGAAAACATACTGCACCCTAGACTGACATCTTGGCACAGGAAAAGAGCCAGCCAGATCTTCAGGAATATAAGTAGTTTTACTTTGCTGAAGACAAGAAACCTTTACACTTTCACTGATCTGTCATTTGTGAGTGTAATATGGCTATTCGGGTGCCTTTTTAAGAATGAACAGATCTGTGGTTGCATCATGTCAATATGGGAAAGCTTTGGACTTCAGTATTAAAAGCATTCACTTTTGTTGAGTTACTGTAAGAAGATTTTAAAGGTGAAATTTCTGTAGTGTGGGCACCTAAATTTAGGTGTGTAGGCATCACTTTCTAACATCCACATTTGCTTAGAGAAGCTAGGCTCCATTAACTTCATTGGCAAAGGGTTTGATTCAGTTGCCTAACGGTAGGCATCTAGTGTCACCTGAGGCACATAGGACACCTGAAGCAGCTGCATGGGGCTGGCATAAATGACACACAACCTATAGATAACTCATGTACTTCTTAGCTGGGAGCTGGAGACCAGTTGGGGTACGCTAGAGCATCTCACATGTACTAGATGCCCTTGTTTAGGCAACTAATTTTGCCTCAGAACTCCATTGATACAATAGGAGCTAAGGTGCCTTGGTCACATGCAGGTACCTAAATGTGACACCTTTCTTAATCTTGCTTTTCATTCTTAGGCTGGAGGACACCCCTACTGCTCAGATGCAAGGGACAACAGCAAGACTTCTTAGGGAAGAAAGTATTTGTACTTCCAGGTTTATAGCTATTTATGTTCTAACAGCAGTTTCTCTAATGACTCTTCAGTGAGCTGCCAGTGATCTAATGAAAATATTTTCCAAGTGTTCAGGACATACGATTCAAAGCAAATTGGTTGTGAAATGTTAAGTCTGTGGATCCAAAGTGGCTTGGCAGACAGGCAGACATATTTCTTCTTGTGAGGGTAGGGGCTAGAGGCTGTGAAGAGAAAATGGTACTGCTTTGTCTTGTGGGCAGAAAATTTCCTGTATGAGTGAAGTTCTGTATTAACACAAAAAGTTGTCCGTATGTTTGTTCTCCTAATAAATGACTTACAGCTTCTCCGAAGCATAAGGCGTTTGTGAAAATATGTGTTCATGTTCATACCTGTTTCTTCTGTAAAAGGAGAAAACAGCAGCAGTAAGTAACAATTGTTTATTTATGTAAGACTAAAGCTTTTCACAAATATTTAGTCATACCAGTCAAGATGCACTTTTCTGTGACAGTTTGGACTGAATCTACACAATAAACAGTTTAGCATAATTGTCTTATTTCAGCTTTTAGAATGCATGATTTCACTGAACTAGTCACAAGAAGAGAAGGTAATAAATGTGCAGTTTTCCATATCTTAAAATGGAAAAGTTCACATCCATAATAACAAACAGTATCACATCATAAATTCATAGCCCAGCACACCTGTACACTGCTATATGAATGCTATTGTAATGAAAAACAATGCAACATCAACATTACTTGGAACCACAGCTTCTAGTTGTTATTGAGGACCCACCACGATGCTGAAAGAGAGAAGAATTTATTTATTTATTTGTTAACATAAACAGTATTTCTTTTGCTACCTCTGGTAAAAATCCTAAATTAAATAGCTATAATGTCTGTAAAGAAACAGTCATTTATATATGCAGCTAATACCACTTTATTTGAAAGCTGCATACTTTCAAGGACAAAACCTCTCCAGGCAGGGGAAGAATACTGAAAGTACTAGGAGAGCTGAGTATAACTGGTGGGGGGGTGGCTTTAGCACAAGAATTTATATCTCTTTGATAACATCCAAAGAAGCATTAATGTGTCACAGGTGCAGTTGCATAGAATTAAAGCGCCGAGAGAGCAAACCACATAAATCCTCGTTCCTGTTTTGCTGCATGTGTCAGTATTTTAGCTGAGCACTGTGTCCCCTGGGTGGTTGTGCTGCCTTTAATGGCTTTCTTTCCTGGTGACATTATTCAAACCTGGTGCTGGTTCTTTTTACACAACTCAAGGAATCAGGAGCATTTTGCCCAAAAGTAAGAGAATTGATGGACTTGTAAAATGTCATTCCTGTAAATGAAGATCTGTAATCACCAGATTAGAGACAGGGCTGGAGTGAAACACGTTTGTACTTCTTCCCCTCAGTCCCCCTTTGCCCTTTATGAAATTGAGCCTTACGCAGAGAGCAACCACAAGATTTATGGAGAGAGACAAGAAAGAAGGAGAAGGAATTGTGACTGTATCTGAGATGCCAGGTCCCCTTAGCGGAGGGGTGTTCTAGGCTCAGCAGGTTTTGCACTACACAGTTTGAGGATTAATTCATTAACACAACTTGTTTCTGTGAATGTGTCCATATATCCTTCAATTCATGGCATTTTTCTGAAAAATGTTATTCTTGAAGAAGAATGTTGAGAAGACACTTAAGAATCCTACCCGAATTTGGGCTATGAAAGCCTAGCTTTTGTTTTCTTCACCAAAAGGTTCTCGGTGTCCTCTAGTCCAGATCTTATATAAAGATCAGGCATTTACTGGCAATGGACTGAGTGATTCATGCCACCCTGGTAGATTGGCCTGAAGCAACTTGGCTGATGTGCACGTGATTATAATAGGTTGTGGTTTCTATTAACTGATGGTAAATGAATTTGCTTTAGGATAATACTGGATCGAACAGTCTTGAAATCCCATGTCTTCCTGAGTCATTCTTAGGCAGGTAAATGTATCCTTATTAATTTTAATTAATCAGCTGAGTGAAGACTCTTGGGTTGTAATCGTTGAATCAGATTCAGTTTACAATTTAGAATTGTTTCAGTTCTTAGTTAACCAGATGTGTAAAAAAATAGATGTGTCTGAGCTAGGGTAAATTTGTTTTTAAAACAGAGCATATCTATGCTCTAGTTGCAGACAGGTGGTTTTTTTTCCTGATTTTACAGGGGTATCACTTCATGGTATCTAAAATTCTTTCATAAAGTGTACTGGTAGCATTGCAGCCGTCATTTTTTACTTCATGAACATTTTCTGTCTTTCAAATACAAACATGATTTGTATAGATCAAATATGGGAAGTACTTTCCATGAAACAAAAGTTCAAATGTCTGCACAGATTTCTAAATAATAGATACTCTATGAAATTGTAAAAATAACTGTGAATGCATTATTTCCCACTGCCCCCCCCCAGCAAGGAGTGCACAGTGAGAAATGCTGTTTCTATGGCAACGGTCTGCCAGGATAGAGTGCTGCAGACTGAAATCCTTCTCAGCAGGCAGAGTCGATGCTTTAACGAGCAGTTTGAGTCCAATTTCAGACACTTCTATATTTAGGCATTTATAAATGATGTTTACATTTTATTTTATGTTAATTGTACTTTAGCTGTCCGTAAACCACCCCTGGAACACTTCTGGGTCACACCCAGTCTATCTCTTGGACACAAAGAAGGTTGGGAAAAGGCTGCATTGTTTCCTACAGCCAAGTTTGTTTTAAATCCAGCAATTTCCCAGTAAGATACAAGATTTGAAGCAATTCTTGGTTCATTAAGTGCAGTCTCCTGATACTGCAGGAATCCCTGGCATATAATTGCATGTTCACATCAGGCTCATAAGGTCTGAAAATGTCTTGGCTGGCTTCTTTTAAGGAGAAACCCCAGGTACAGGACTACATAATTTTTTTTTTCTATTAGGTGGGTTTTATTATTTTAAATATAGTCTGTACTCGGACATAGGGGAAATTAGGGTTTCATTGTAATAGATTTGTGTTGCCTAAGATAAAAATTTTGCTGTCCTCCCTCTGAAAATATGGGACTGATGCTTGCTTTTCTTCATCCTGCACTGTCTCTTTTAACTATCATTTCTCTGAGAAAGGTGATGTTGCATGCTCATTGGTTTGTATTAGAAATAGTAATTTGGAATCATTAACACCTTGCTTTTCACAAAGGAGTTTGGTTTTTCCCAGTTTTAACATAGCAGGAAGCATGTATAATAAATTGGTTAGTAAATAGAAATTGTTAGTAATAAGACTTGCATCAGTCAATGTAAATATGATTAAGTCGACGTCTTCATCAGCAAGCAGTTTTTTGCCTGAAAATCTTAAACAGGGTCTAGTTTACTAATCACAAACAGTATTGTTTATTCTAGATATTTTCTTAAATAGTATATGCTAGTGTAACTTTCCACTATATATAAAATAAAGCATTGTGGGTCTTATTATTACTGATGCATTTTACATTTCTGTGCTTACAATAAAAACATTTGGAGTCCCTTTCTCCTTCATACTTTACCAAAGAAAATCAGACTAAGGGTGATATTATGCCGTGGTCCTGCATATGGAACACACTAATATAGCAGGACTCTTCACATGGAATAAACAAAATAATGTGAAAAATTAGTATTTACCAGGGACTAGCATTGTTGTGATGAGCTCTGGAGTTTCCAAGAAGTCTACGTTACTTCTTTGGAACGTCTTGCTGTAATTCATTTGAAGATGGCTAAATAGTTGTAAAAAATAAGAGTTAAGAATCAAGTTTTTTAAAGGCACTAACAATTTTTGTAAGGACCAGAAATTGTACAATTAATGCTATAACAGAGATTTTGTGCTTCAAAACTTAGAAAATGATGATAGTGGGAGAGGAGACCAGATAAGCTGTGAAGTTCTTGCATGTTATATTAAACACACTTTTTCTTCTGTATGCTTAACTGTTACCCTGATGCTCATCTCTTGGTTGTGACCCAGTATAGCAGTTCTTGTTCCAAGCGTGGTGATGTGTTACCAGTGTTCTTGAGTCTTTCTGAAAGTAAACTTTGAACTGGGGCTCTGTTCCAAAGGAAAGAAACTAAGCTTCAAGAGACTTCTCCGTCTTCCTTCAGAATGGTTTCTATCTACAGATTTAGGATCGTGGGTCTTGTTTGTTGGGTTTTTTTTAATAGTAAAAGTAGTTAAGGAAAATCTTTTTGTCTCTACTCAGTTTCTTAGCCATCTCTCTGCTGCAGGCTAGAACTCAGCTGGTAGGACTTTTAATCACTATAACTTCTATTTTGGGCCCAAAACAGACATTCTGGGAATCCGTCGGATAGGTTTTTGTGATGTGGATGTGGGAAGCTTTGGGATAGCTCCCCATGACTGGTTGCATGCTTGAGTGTGTTGCTGGATGGTGCACCTCCTGCCTCATTCATTTCTTTGATTGTCATCATTGAACTATGGTAATAGTGCCGTTTCCCCGTTCTTTTGTCTCTGATCAACTACCGTACATCTGATGCCATGCCTTTCTCCGTTTGCTGTCAGACATTTTCTGTTCTGTTCAAACTAGCTGTGTCTTTCTTACGTTTTTATATGTTTCAGTATGTTTTAGTCTTTAGCAACTGAAGTATTGTTCTGAAGTATTAACTGTGATGTATTTAGCTAGAGATCGATTAGCAGTATTTAAAGTAATTCGCATTCAGTCCTTCTACACAACTGCTCTCTAACCTTCAAAACTTTCTGTAGTACAAAAAAAAACCCAAAACCAAAAAAAACCCCAAGACTTACCTGTTCCAGGCATTGCTGTTCTCCCAGAACTCATAAACAATGAAGCGGGAATCACTTGGAAGCTTCTGTATGGAAACACTAAGAATTATGGGATAAAACTAATTTAATCAAACGTGACAAAGTTACTGGACATACACATCTTACTCCACATTGCTTATGAGTATGAACCAAATGCAGTGATTTTTGAAGAAACAAATAAAAAACCTGAAATAATAAATTTAACAAATAAATGATTTGGGGAAATATACTGTGAATTATCTGAGCTTTTTTTTTTTTTTAAACTCATGGAGTATTTTCATGGCTTTTTATTTATTAATATTTTATCTTAGTACACTTATGATGGACTCTTGAGAAACTCATTTTTCATATTGCTCCAATACTGTAATTTATCTAAAGAAATGCTAATCGGTAATATAGAAAATTAATCAAACAACTGTGGTTCAGGGAAAATGAGCTAATGCAGCATACTGCACATAGAGAACAGGTCAAGTAAGTTTGCAGAGTAACTTGTGCTGTTTCATTGAAGAATTGCACTGTGAGAACTCATCCTTTTGTACGAGAGGCATCAGAGTGGCATAGAGTTTAGGTGCTTTGGAAGCAAATAGCAATGGAGTATAAAGACAGATAGGTTGATGTCTGCTGCAGATAACACTTTCAAAATAATACCTTCTGGTATTATTTACTTGTCCTTACGTCATTCAGCTAACAATTTATCATGGGTGAAAAATGACCCACAGAATATCTGCTGATCCTCTACACAGAATCATCCCACTTATTATCCTGAGCATAACAGCTTTATAGCACATAGGGTGCTTAGGCCTCAAATTGGTGGTTAGGTGTATAGCACAAAAAATATATATACGTATTTCTCTGAGTGCCCACGTGAGATCGCTGATCTTACTACTGATGTGCTTGCAAACTGGTCTCAGGTTATATTTCATACTGTAATAAGAAATTTCATATGATTTATTGGTTTTCTCCAGCTGTACGCAGAAGTACATTGTAAAATAGCAAAAATATCAAGAACTGTTGAAAAAAACAAGTCAGTATCCTAAAAAGCTACAGTGAAAAACAACCGGTAGGTGGCATTACAGACTTACCAAATGTCTGTAAACATGGGAAAGAAAGTAATCTTTTGCCATCATTTGTTAAGTTGCATTCTGAAGTCATGTAAGCTCTCCCCCCGACAAGTTCGCAGTCACTACAGTGTTTGGCTGGATGTTTCTTTTTGGAAGGGGGCTGGGGGGCTTCTCTTCTTTGTTTTTTCCAGCTCTTGGCCCACATGAGAGTTTTATTTTCCTCATCAGTCTGCCTTTACAAGTGAACCACTGCAAAAAGGTCACTCTTTTCTTCTTCCAGCTTAGCTTACCTTTTCTGGTCTGTGTGAACACTACTGATACAGTGACCATAAGCGTGATGATCTCATAGCAACAAGGCTTATAAGTTAGGGATGTGATAGGCAGTCTTTGAAGCCTTTGAATATATAGGAAGATCCCGTATTGTGTACACATTATAAAGATATTTATTTCATAATGGTCTGTAGTGTGTACAATAGTAGCTTTCTCAAGTATGTTAAATTAAGAAATTCAGTACAGCGGTGAGTCACTAAAATCTGTTCTTAACCTAGTTCTAATGTTTTCTTTAATTCTAAAAGGAGCAAAGCAGAAATACCCTATTTCATTGAAAATTTTACTTATTAATTTTTCCTATTCTTTATTATGAATGAAAATTTTAAAATGACAGCCTAAAGGGAAGATTTTGAAAGCTTCCAAACAGGGAACTGGCAAACAAGTTGCTAAGTTGCTCACTTGCCAGGTAAGCACAAATGAAGGGCAGCAAATGAGTTTTCCAAGAAAGAGTGTCAGCCTAGGAGCTCCCAGAAGCCATGAGCTGATGACCTGCAGAGCTGAGAAGTCTTAAAAGATTGTTTAGCATCTTTGGGATAGCCTGCATTGTCGTTTTGTGATACTACTTAAAGTCTGCACATACACTTTGACATCTCTTTCTGATTTTAGTTGTCTGTGAAAACCTGTCTTACACACATGCATAACCAGCCAGGAAAGATGTTACAGGTTCTCTCTTCATAAATAATCCAGCTCCACTTAGAGTTTATTCAAGAAATCAGACCACATTCCTTCCTTCAGCCCAGGGGCAATAACATGGTACTTACTGCAAGCAGCCACCCTGAGTAGAAGCAGATTCCACGTACTGCCTCAGAGCAAGCCGGAATTCCTTGATTTCTTCTTCTATCACAGACATTTGACGTTGAACAATCATTATATGCTGATACAAAAACATTACAATATTATTGCCATATCATTCTCTGAATTCCTTGTACTTTAAACTTGGGAAAGTCTATCATAAAACAATAAAAAACACAATCATCAAAATACCCCCACAAAAATTCCTTCAAAGTTTGCGGTCCCTGTTTTAGTGCTTTGGAGTGGAGAAGTAGAAACACCCGAGTATAGCTTTTATATCTCAGCAGGCTGAGGCACAGAATGGAAACACCCAAAATTAGTGTCGACCTTAGAGAAACTGGGAGTTGTCTGAAGCCTGGATGAGAGAGTCTTTTCAGAATAGTGCAAAGCAAATATTTATCTTTGGAATATTCAACAATAAGGTCAGCATGTTTCCTTGGATTAATCTGTCTGCCAGCAGGCGTGAGGTTTGAGATAAGAACATAGTCCCACGATCTGCATTGGATGCAGTGTTACTTTCATTGAGGTGCTCTTGTAGTCTTCTGCCTTTCAGAGCTCTGACTCACACCTGAATGAGATGCCTAAGGTAGCCCGTGTTAAATGATGAATAGAGAGGGTTTTTTTTCCTCCACCTTTCTGCAAAAAATGAACAATCTTTATAAACAGGACTATGGGAACACTTGGCAGTACAGAAGACCTATTTATCCTGAATTATTATGGTTGTCATTTAGCTAATATAAGTAGTTTACATATTGATTCATCCATTGAAGCTTGTCAATTTTACTAATGAAATATATAAAGAAACACCACGTGCTTCTTAATGAATACAACTTCATCTCTTGTATGTCTTTTTGACTTGTTTCTGCTTTGATTATTGATACTGTTATCTCATGGATTATCCCTCCATCATAAACAGGCTGTCTACCAATATTGTGTAATCTCATTTAAAAAAAGAAAAAATCGAGTACAACTCCTGTGATGAAATAAGGAATTTGATGGATCATCTGTTTTGGTTATTTTTTACTGTGTATTTGAGTTGCATTTTGTTTGGTTCAAAGCCCAGAATTTAGGAATGGTAATGTATTTGAAAAATTGATCTTGGGACATTAACTTAATCAAAAATAAGTTTATTTCTGGTTATGATTTTAGTTTTGTAAGTTGTAATATTGATTACTGCTTAACACTAGATGCTCTCCCATCTTTCCTGATAAGGCCTCCTATAGCAGTTTTGGGAGGGAGGGAGGCTGGCTGTACAAATTTAAAACTTGTACAGATTTAAAGCATGCATGCAGCATTAGGTGATCGGGTGCTGAGAAGCTCTCATCCCATAAACATTGCTGCCAAATTCAGTAAATCTTATAAATGACACCTTTTACTACTTATGTGAGCCGAGTTTTTGCCTCACTGTCTCTTTCGAAAACAATGCAAAAATTAATATAAAAGTTTTGGCCACATATTCTAAGTTTTGTTGTGTTGCATCTTGCACAATGTATTCTGCTGTCTAAAATGGATTCTTATCACTTGGAAAAAGGAGGATGGTGATTTTTTTACTTTTATTTTTTAACAAAAGAGATCAGGTGAGATTGTTGGCTCAATACCCGGCATGGAAAATCAAATGTCAAAAGTCATTATCTTGAAAAGCACTTACAGATTTTGCATTTTCTTCCAAAACTTCCTCTTCAAATGGCTCAAGCTTTAGGTCCTTTCAGGCAGTTGAAAAGAAAATGGAAATATAAGAGGCAATACTACAGCTGTATTATGGTCTTACCTTTTTAACAAGCTATTCCAATAGCTAGATTCTGTTACATCTCCAGAGGTTATAATTAAATCCCTTCTTTATTAGCTGCAAGTCAAACACAAGCATTGTTTGCAGAATCTTGCACGTTTCAGTGGTTAAATGCAACCCAGGCTGTTCTGTGAAGTTTTATTTATAATGCTGAGCAGGTAATTTTTCATTTGTAACAAATCTGCTTGCTCACAAGTGTATGTTGGACGTAATTCAGAAAAGACAGATATCTTCTCAAATTATCACGTGGACTACAGAGATGAGCAAGGAGGGTAATTTGAAATGAACTATCGGCTACTATTAGGCCATCATAAAACTTTATACAAAAGAAACTTAAGAAACTTCGGGGGGGGGGGGGGGGGG